CAGGGTGTTAAGAACAGGGTAATGCCCCCCCCCCCCTTTTGGGAATGACCTATAGACACTTCAGTCAGTAGCACCGCCCCGGGGACAAGTGTTCTTTGACAGGCACGGTCGAGGCAGCATTCTTTATACTGTGATCTAAACAGTGTTAATGGGGGCGTAACACATACACCCAACAAATGCAATGATGTAATGTCCCATACACGATAGAGTGTTGATTGGCAGCGTGGAGAAGAGCGAAGACTGACGGCTTCGACAAAGTCGTGACGTTGTTACATTTGTGTCGTGGCGTTAACTCTTTATCTCCGGCAAGCGCTCCCAGCGGCTCCGGCACATTCCTTACGACGACCACTTCGACATCAAAGTACTTTTCAGTAATTGCCAAAAACAGGTTTCTTTTACAGGAAGTTCATTCATTAGATGAGGTACTATCATAATAGGTTCGCAAGTTTCGATTTAATTACCCATTTAGCGACGTTTTTGTCATTTTTAGATTTAGTACCAAAAAAGGCCCCCCCCAGCGTAGAAAACAAGATTGGATGAACAGATAGGCCTTGGGAAAGACAAGCAGAGCAGTTTCAGACATATGACTACAACAAAACGAAATGACAATATCAATACTGAGAAAGAAACAAACCACGATCTCCTGCCTACGAACAGATCATAATATACAGCTCAACTTTCACTTGAACAGAATAAATCCAGAACTTCCCCCAATGTGTCCCTTTTTATGACTATACATACGAGACAGTGGATCATCACCTGTTTCACTGTACAGCCCTAAATGACATCAGAGGTTCCCTTCTCCCTTCGAGACCTAACATTGACAACACACTCTACGGAACGTTACAGCAAATGCAACCCTTCTCTCCTAGTTGTGTGACTGGCGTTGGGCAGAGAGAGAGAGGGAGAGAGAGAGAGAGAGAGAGAGAGAGAGAGAGAGAGAGAGAGAGAGAGAGAAAGAAAGAGAGAAAGAGAGAGGGAGAGAGAGAGAGAGAGAGAGAGAGAGACAGAGAGAGAGAGAGACAGACAGACAGACAGACAGATAGAGAGAGACAGAGACAGAGAGAGACAGACACAGCGACATGTGATGGCCGAATTTTGCTATTCAAAAGGCTTTTTAATGGCTGCTTCGATCGACAAGCGGTTTTCGCCAAAAGATTATTCGAAATATTCTCCAGAGCAAGGCGCCCTTGGTTTTTTCAGTTTTGAGACAGTTCTGCTAAAAGTTAAATTTCTTTATTTCGCCGATCGCTTTTGTAGGCCGCCGACGCTTCAGTCTCTGTAATTTTAGAAAATCGGGAAGTGATATTTTGTTTTGAGAGTGTAGATCTAGACCTTATAATTTTTTGCATCTCTCAAGATTTATTGCCTCATTCCAGTAGAGTGTAAATATAGTAGGCCAATGACTTTTAGTTGATATTAAGGCACCGATCATTCCTTTCATCGAAAGGGGGCCCAGCTAGTACAATATACACGCCCTTCTCTCCCAGTTGTGTAGCTGGCTTTGAGACACAGAGAGAGAAAGACAGAGAGAGAAAGAGAGAGACAGAGAGAGAGAGAGAGAAAGAGAGAGAGAGATAGAATTCGATCATATTATATGATATATATATATATATATATATATATATATATATATATATATGCTATATATATATAATATACCCCCTTCTCTCCTCCCAGTCGTGTGGCTGGCGTTGGGTCCGTGCCAGGCCGGAGTTCTACGACACAGGAGAGACTCGGCTCCCAGCCTGCACCAGGGTCTCGTGGATCTTCACAACGACATCTACACCGGGAGCAACAAGGAGGATGGCGACGGCCATCATGGAAACTCGGTCAGTGCATCGTCATCGTCATCATCGTCATCATCGTCATCATCGTCGTCATCATCATCATCATCATCATCATCATCATCATCGTCATCATCATCATCATCATCATCATCATCATCATCATCATCATCATCATCATCATTATCAGCAACAACAACAAATGAACAAACAATAATAATAAAAAAAAGAAAATACAGGAGTACCAGAATGCACATTTGAACCAGTGCCATCCGGCCCATAAGCAAACTGTATTTCAACTGAGCTGTCTATAATTGTAGTTAGTCGAACATTTTTTAAAGAAAAAGAGATAATGTCATATTATCTTACATAAAGTTTACTCTCGTATATATCATATCAGGAAGGGCAACACATATTTACGTCTATATTTTTGTTTCTTTCTTTCTTATAAAAAAAAAAACATCCACAGATTGACAAGATGTCACCTGACCCCGCCCCTGCGCCTGACCCCGCCCCTGCACCAGACCCTGCCCCTGCACCAGACCCCGCCCCTGCACCGGACCCTGACCCCGCCCCCGCCCCCGACCCTCCCTCCGCCCCCAATCCGGACCCTCCTCAAATCGGACCGGACAACTCCAACACAGAAGACGACGACGGACACGGGAACAACGGAGGGCCGGACACACCCTCTGTGGACCCCCCACAACAGCAACAACAGGAACAACAACAGCAGGAGGAACAGCAACAGCAGCAGCAGCAAGAGGAGGCGCCTCAGAAAGAGGCTGCGCCAGCCACCGAACCGCCCCCACCTCCCCCAGACACCCCCGAACCCCTACCTCCCGGAGAAATCGCGGCGGCTAGGAAGTCAAACGCTGCAGACCACGCGCCTGATACGGGAAGTTCCGAAGAGAAGACGAACGCCAAAGCTGGACCCAACGCTGTGGACCCACCCTATATCATGGGCGCTCCGGACGGATTTGGGGGCGGGCCCCCTATTGGACCGCCAGGTGGACCCCCAATCGGTCCACCAATGGGATCGCCGGATCCTTTCGATCCTTTCGGACCGCCCCCACCCCCACCACCCGTGCCTGGCTTCCTCGATCCTTTCGATCCTTTCGTCGGCGCGCACGGCCCTCCTCCCCCACCCCCACCCCCGCCCAATACAGGATTCGGAGGATCCATCAACTTTAGTCCTATGGGAGGCCCCCCTCCTCCTCCTCCTCCACCTCCTGGCGGCAGGATGGGCCCGCCTCCTCCCCCTCCCCCTCCGTTTATGGTGGGAGGAGCCAACTTGGTCCCGCCCCCTCCTCCATATTTTAGAGGACCAATGGGAAGGGGACCTAACGGGTTCGGACCTCGTCCTCCTCCTCCCCCTCCTCTTCCTTCGAAAGAAGCTCCACCTCACGAGAACCTCACACCTTCCGAGAAGATCGCGGCTGACAAAGCGGCCATGGCGGAAGCGAGAGCCCTGGCCATCGACAAGAAGAACGACCTGATGGACATGCAACAGGACAAGCTCTCCGCCCGCACCCCGCCCCCTCCACCCCCGGAGACCACGCCCCCTCCCCCTCCCCCGCCCCCGAAAGTGTCAGCAGCGGAGCTGAAGAGTTTGGCCGCCGACAAGGCTGCTGATTTGATGGATCAGCAACGTGATCTCCTCGCCATGGCCAAAGAAAAGGTCAGCGCAGCTAAAGAGAAGAAACCACCCCGTGGCCGCCCATTCCCACGTCTACGGCCCATGCCCTCTGGTCCATTTTTCATTGGCTAGAGGCATCACACTTATAATTATTTGACAACATTTTTGAATATCGTAGTCAAAGATAGCCATATTATTGCCAAAATATTTACATACGTGAATGAATTTATACTTTTTAAAGGTATATTAGACAATGAGTATTAGAGAGGTTCTTATTTTTGTCTTGTCGATCATTAAAAGAAAGACAAAATCCACCTTCTCATTCCAAGTTTCAATTTCTGCACCCTTGTAAGTGTGTTCAGTTCACCGCAAAATCAGTCCTTTACACAAGGACCTCTATCTCTTTCACAAATGCCACAATTGACGTCTTCTAATTGGTTGCTTTTAAGGACAAGCGGGCTAACCCAGATTTCGGGGGTTTCGTATCTTGGCCTACACCAAAAGTGGGCATTGATTGCCCTACCTAAAGGAAAAGTTTGGTTTCATTGGTGTGTATATTTATTTGTTTATTGAGAAAACACTCCTTGTCTTTTAAAAGAAACTGAACAAGGGGCAAAAGCTTTACCTTCGATTTTCTCAAAACAGCATTTTTCGGGATAGCCCCCTTGAGTTTAAAAGTAGTGACCAATTTGACGGTACACTCTTCACATATCTTCCCTAATGATCAGTGACCCTGTACAAAAGTATGCACAGTTCCCAACTCTGTGTAAAAGCATGTATTCCTCTTCTTACAGTAGTATCTACAATAGCCTTTTAGAAGCCATTGATCCTTATTTCCCATTCCCCCATTCCTTCTTCTTACGGTTTTCTTTTTTTTTATTATGCATGACTCAAAAATTATAACAAACCCATTTCCATTGTGTATTTATATCCCCCCCCCCCCTTACGAATTATTGTACATTATTACATAGACAATATCCCCAACCTTGTACTTTATTCCATCAACGGGCAGGTATGTCAAATTTCCCATATTCTGCACATCATAATAAAATCCTATATCATTATAAATAATAATATAACGAGTACTACTTCACACTCTACCCCACATCTCACGACTCACTCATCTTTTATACATTTTTTAATCTTTATATTTTTATTATCACATACTATCTAATAAACAAACATTTATGCCAACAATGTTTTTCACCCATCTCTTTTCCTTTCCTAACTGTTACCTAGTTTGTCATTCTCGGTCTCATGAATAATAAAACAAATTTAATGTTTACGTAGACCTACTAATAAATAATTTATTGATATTTTGGTTACAACTTCAACTTTTATTCACGAAACACCACTCCCTTGGAGAAGTAACTTTCGCAATAGGTAGCAATATATAAGTAGTAAAAAAAAAGTAAAGTTGTTCCCGCATCCGATCCGGACATTGGAGATTGCCTTGTTAGTGAGACAACTTCCTGGGCCTTCGGCACATTGTGGTAGGGTGGCCAGTTCCTTTCCACGCCGCCTTTACTTCCCCAACTCGAAGTCAGGTACCCATTACTGCTGGGTAGGCAGGGGGAGGGGGGGGGGGGGGCGAAAAAAATCCGTGTCCGAACATATATGTCGACTGGGGTTATTTTGTTTCACATTTTAAAAACAAATGAATGTCCCACCTTGCTGGAACATTTTGTTATGAAATGCAAGTTTTCCCATGCAGAGCAATATTTTACGTTCATGCTTAATCCTTCCAGCCCTATGCGTGTATATTTTCAGCAGCGTTTGTACCTCCCGCCGTTCCAAGAGCGTATATTCTCAGTTTCGGGGGATACCGAATTTGTGCATTTTTCCAAATTAGCTAACCTAATTAAACTTTAATTTTCATAATATTTGTTCATTTACCTTTAAACATTCTTATATGTTATTATCTAAACCCCATTACAAAGATACTAAACCACTTTTTAGAACGCATGCCTCTTTTTTTCTGAAATACTGCTGTATTGGCTGGGACTGGGGTTAGGGAGTGCACAAAAATGTGTGGGGCTGGAAGGGTTAAAAATATCAACCGATCGGCCTGTATACACATCGGCCTGTTACATCTATATAATCCTATTGCTGATAGATAAATGCCACCCCGCCCCCTTTTTTGCCACCCCCCCCCCAACACTCCCCACCCCAGCATGCTTTTCAACCTTGACCTTAATATGTGTCACGACATGGTGGAATCAGGCGCTCGTCATTTTTTGGGCATAAGGAGTTATTGGTTTCATCTTAAAGCTTGTTTCTTTGCCTTGCTTTTGGTGAAAAAAAATATCCAAGTCGAGTAGAAGTCAAAAACATTTTTTAATTGAAGGAGGTCAGAGTCGCCTGGTTTCGGAGGTAAAATAAGCGAGAAAATGGCCACCAAATTAGGTAATTTCCATAGCTTGAGAGTCCTTGGAAACTGAAAATTGACTTTTTTGTGCATTTAATCAATGTTTTTCCAGCAAAATTCACCCTGAAATGTGTTTCTAAATGGATTTAAAAGCTGTTGAGACAAAAAAGGAAAATTAGAACAAAATTTACCAACGATTGGAAAAATGACAATTGCTTTGATTTCATTATTTTGACGAGCGCCTGATTTCACCACGATACCTCTCATAATATGTAACACCACGAGCCTGGAATACTCCCCGTCTAGAGTTCACCACATCATTATTCGAAATATAAATAATATTATCTTTTTTTTGGTTTATGTAAGTTTTACGGCGCTCGCAACTGCATAAGGTCATATGAGCGCCAGAAGATTAGAGCTCTTACAAGAGAGTAACAAATATTTTAAAAAAAAGAAGAAGGGGAGATAAGGACGATAGATGTTTGATATGAAAGAAGAAGCAAACCACACCAGAGCACCTGCCAACCACCCTCAAATATGGTCTTTTTGTCTAACCTGCAGCATCCTTGTCTTCAATATGGGCAGGTTTCTTTGACATCTCAGTTTGAACACCATAATAACATTATTATGATAAAAATAGACAAGTGGAATGACTGAGAATAGTGATAAAGAAGAAGAACAAGAGCTCACATAAGGAAGAAATAGATTTAAAATATATGTGTTTGAAAAATAAAATAAGACGCAAAAGTGTGCACAATGTTAAGGGAGCTTTTGAAGCAAACGTTAACTTTTTTTTTCTTCTAATTTGTATGTGTTTGCACTGTTTCCAAAAGTAGGTTAGCGGTCTGTATTTAACCAAAAATTTCAGATTCACCCTCAACTGTCCACATTTGGTCGCTTTTAAGGACAAGCGGGCTAACCCAGATTTCGGGGGTTTTCAGAAGGGTAAAAACTTTACCTTCGATTTTCTCAAAACCGTATTTTTCGGGATAGCTCCCTTGTGCTTAAAAATGACCATTTATTCTTTTAAGTACGTGTTGTTGGGCCCATACCTGCCTGCACTTACATAGAGCAGTAGATACAATTTTTCACCGTGCAATTACTATTACTCAAGCAAAGTCTGAGACACACGAAATATTATCCTACATTTTTATTTCTACTGTGTTTGTCGCTATGGACTGTAAAGCGGATAGAGCTTGCTGTTGAGAGGGATTTACGCTATACAAATGCTGTCTATTATTATTCACACTGCTGTCTGTGGAGTAGCAGTTGTGGTGAGGCGTTTATTCACCCCCGCACTGAGAAGACGTGAGTTATTTGGGGTTTTTTCGTAAGAGTTTTACGGCACTCGCAACACAATCAGGTCATAATAATATAAGTACCGAAGATTAAATGTGTTGCAAGGGAGTAACAAACACAAAAAAGAAGGAGGGGAGATAAAGACGACCACAGATGTTTGATAGGAAAGAAGGAGCAAACCACACCAGAGCACCCGCCAACCACCCACGACGTGAGTTCGATCCCTGTGTGGGGAGAGATTTTCTAACAAGTATTTCCGTCTGTCTTCTGGAACGTTCGTTGTGTCCTCCTCAGCCCAGGCTGTCCCAGGCAGGCGAGGGAAAAAGCAGCCCGCCTCCCAAAACGATCTTTTGCTTTCTTTTGTTTGTTTGAGTAAAGAGAAGCACATCGACACAATTATGGTCATTTACGTAGTGCCGGGAAAAAGTAAGACAGACAGACAGACAGACAGACAGAAACAACAGAGGGAAAGTAAAGAAGTAGGACCTACCAGCACTGCCCTCCAACCACCTACCCAAACGATCTAAATTGTGTCAATGAGAGTGGAGAATACCTACATTTGTGTCAATGGGAGTGGAGAACACCTACATTTGTGTCAATGGGAGTGGAGAATACCTACATTTGTGTCAATGGGAATGTAGAACACCTACATTTGTGTCAATGGAAGTGGAGAACACCTACATTTGTGTCAATGGGAGTGGAGAACACATACATTTGTGTCAATGGAAGTGGAGAACACCTACATTTGTGTCAATGGAAGTGGAGAACACATACATTTGTGTCAATGGGAGTGGAGAACACATACATTTGTGTCAATGGAAGTGGAGAACACCTACATTTGTGTCAATGGGAATGTAGAACACCTACATTTACAAACGGCCCGGTCTTAGCACTAGGAAATAACCCCAAGAGAAAATGTAACAGGCAAGCTTAGCAATCTGCAGCTGCATAGCGGTCACCCCAAATGTTACAATTAATATATATAAAAAGAATAGAAAGTTTTATTTTTAGTTTCAGAAAGAGTTTTACGGAACTTACAATGCAATAAGGTCATATAAGTGCCGAAAATTAGAGGTGCTACAAGAGAGTAACAAACACAAAAGGAGAGACCAGGACGATAGATGTTTCATACGAAACAAGGAAGGAGCCAATCACACACTTACCAGAGCTCCCACCAACTACCCTCAAGAAAAGAGAAAAGAACAGAAATAAGTCAGTAGAATTCTAAAAACTGATAGATTAAAAAAAAACTCACAACAAACATGAGTGGGATAAAATATTGTAGTAGGCACAGTTTATTGGACCACTATTTCATAAACACCAAGCAAGCACACTTGGTTGGATAGACGTTAATATAATAATATTGTATAATATTTGAAGTACATTTTGCGTTCCAGGAAGTTGTTCCTCTAGGTGCAGATTCTCAAAAAGATTCTCTACGTCGGCGTTTCAAGGTTAATGGGAATAATACACACATACACTAACATGATATGGGAATGTATAATGCGTTGCAATATAACTGTGTGAAATGGGAAGGTGGGTCAGAGGACTAGAGAGAAAGAGAAAGAACTTGATGAAGTAATGAGGTCAACGCGGGGAATCTAAGACACTCGGTATTTCCGGTGTACTAGATATTATATAGGTTCTTACCAGAAGATGACTGTGACTTTGATTTCCACAGAGAGAATATTTTTTTTAGTGAGTATCTTTAGCTTTCCGCGGGGATGCCTTATCCAACTCAGCCAACGGCGGATTAATTTTGTGGATGACTGCATAAAGCATTTTTTATGATTAATCATTTACTTCTATGACGATATCAGTCATTGGACGTCAGCCTCTGAGCAAGAGAATATGACAGCTCCAGGTATCCAGTATCAGTCGACCACATCAATAATTTATTTATAGAGGCACCAGCCATCCACGTCAAGGAGCTGTTTTAGCCGAACTACCCGCCCTGCATGAACGGAATCCGGATACCCCCCTAAAATAGAATTATTAATTAATTAAACAAAAAATCCCCCCTCC